CACCACCGCCGCCCCCTCCGCCTCCACCACCGCCACGAATCAGCAAACGAGTGGTGAAGGCCGCCAAAGCAATTCTGGACTTCAAGAAGACAATAGCGAATGGTCCAAAAGAGGTGTTGGACTCATGGAAGGGCCTCGACGCTTGCAAGTACAAGGGCGTCACCTGCGACAAAATCCCCGATTTCGACAACGAAAGAGCCGTCGCCGGAATCGACTTCAACGGCTACGGATTCGAGGGCAAAGGCGGGCAACTCAAACTTGAAGGTTTCATCGAAAGACTAGAGGATTTAGCCTTCTTCCACGCCAACTCCAATAACTTCACCGGCATGGTCCCCGACATTGACCTCAAAAAAATCCGGTTCCTGTACGAATTCGACCTCAGCAACAACAAACTCAGCGGAGAATTCCCCTACAAAGTCCTCGCCGCCAAGAACCTCACCTTCTTAGACCTCCGGTTCAACCAATTCTACGGCCAAGTCCCGAACGAAATCTTCACTCTCGATGTCCAAGTAATCTTCATCAACAACAACAACTTCCTACAGAACCTCCCCAGCAACCTGGGACAAACCCCGGCTCTTTATCTGACCTTCGCGAACAACGAGTTCACCGGACAGATCCCGGGGAGCATCGGTCTCGCCTCCGAAACTCTAATCGAAGTCCTCTTCCTCAACAACAAGCTCTCCGGCTGCTTGCCGTACGAGATCGGGTTACTAAAGAAGACGACTCTGTTCGACGCCAGCCAGAATAAAATAACCGGGCCGATCCCGCAGTCGTTCGCGTGCCTCAAAAAGATTGAAATTCTCAACCTGGCAAGTAACCATCTCTACGGCGAAGTGCCGGAGCTGGTCTGCAAACTGCCGAATTTGCAGAACTTGTCGTTGTCGGATAACTACTTTACTCAGGTCGGGACTCTGTGTAGGAAGCTGATAATGCAGAAGCGTCTCAACGTGAGAAATAACTGCATTTTCGATCTGCCGAACCAGAGGCCTAAGGAGGAGTGTGAGAGATTCTTCACTAAGAATCCAAAGACTTGTTCACAGAACAAAATGATGTATTACATTCCTTGTACCAGACAATGGGCCTATCAGGGAAGCGAATTATCCGACGGACGACAATTGTTTGCTTCTTATGATGATGGTGATGATCATGATCATGACCATGATAGTGGTCGTGGGAGCTCTTCGCCGGTGTTGTATGGTGCTCTTACGCCTAACGGATTGCGAATTTGATCATGTCAGTATGGACATTAATTGTCTGTTAATTAATTACTAGTAATGTTTTATATAGTTTCTGTTGATTCTAAAGCAATGTTGTACCATCTTGATTATATATATTTTGGCGTCCTAAGCAGATGCTGGGTATATGTATATGAATAAATAGAATAAAGCAAGAATTGCAAATTCTTCCTTTGCTTAGTCCGATCTTTTATTGTCACATATTGGCTAAGACTTTGTAACGTTTGAAATCACGTAGAAATTGCCACACAAAATTATAGCATGAGTTTTGTTCTATAATACGCAAGAGTTGATATATGAATACTTTGTGAATATGTGATTGGTTAAAAATTATGATTGTCGTATATTATAACATGGCAATATCACTGTACATACTGATGATGATGTAGTTAAAATTACATTTATACAAGCAAATTATCTAATGGAATTGAAGATAATTGGAAACCAACTTGGATTTTTGCTACACTAGCTAATAAATTTTATTACAGTCTTAATTTTTCATGTTATGATTGAAGGTTTGAACCAATTAGTCACAATTGTGTTACCACTATAAAAGACTAGTGTGTGTGTCAGCTGGAAAAAAAGATGAACAATTTGTGACCCATTAAAGTGATAATGGACTACCCACAAGCTTATGAATGTGGTGTCAATATTATTACTTTGTCACTTCTTTTGGTTTAATTTGTAAAAGAATTAGTTGGTGATTTGATATTTTCGGACGCTGTACATTTTGTGGTCTTTTAAAACGCGGACAAAAAGGAAAAGGTTCTCGTGAAAGAAGGGTCTATTATTTTGCCCTCCTTCTAGGGAAATGGTCCGATTTTGTATCTGTATTATGTACTGTTTACACCGACACTTCTAATTGGGATATTATAATATCTGGCTAACGTCTCTGCATGTACGTAATGGAGTCCCACAATCACAATGATTCTCTCTCGCTCTCTCACTCATACAAAGATTTTGGACGAGAACTCGTACGTTATTGCCCCTCTTTTAAGCCGACGATTAATTTTCTGTTAGATTTAATAAAAATTAAATAAGATTTAAAAAATATACATAATAAATAATTTTTATGTAAATTTAACGGTTAAAAATAATTAAAAAAAATAAAATTATCGGTAGTTTAATTTTTTATCCAGTAGGAAAAACACTATTCTTGCAGTTTTAAAGATGTATCCTCAAAAGAAGAAAAAGTTTTAAAGATAAAGAAGATAATTAACATATTTATCTTATCGCCAAAATAGTGGCCAAGAAGGATTTGGGGTCCAATTCTTAGCTGGAATTTAGATAAGAAACCATGGTATATTTTTTTTCAAACAACTGACCCACCAAGTAGCAGTAGCTAGGTATTTTTTAAACAAAAATTGTTGTATTGTATTCTGAAATTGAAATATAGAAAAAGGACGTTATATTTATACGACTAATCTATTTTGAAAAGGACACTAAAGACAACATTCTATACCATATTATATTTCACTGTAGCTTGATAACCCATAATTTCGGCTTCTAGAAGCTAACCCCAATTGTAAGTTGACGTCCAGCACATCCTGAAACGAAGTCATGAAATTGGGCCAGAGTAGTCAATTCTATATAATCTCGCAACAAAATTGACACCAAATCGTAAACTCGTGGTTGATACACGATTTGTTGAGTAAAGAAATATATAGATTTCTAATCGGGGTTAATACACGATTTCGGTGATGTTTAAAATTTACGTTGACGACAAACCTTAATTATATATGATTGCATATTAGTACTTGGTATGCAATGCATTTATATCTTTTCCCTGAAATAATTATAAGATCATTTTATTCAAAAGCTCTCACGCAGCAAAACTGCTAGCTAGTATGCATTATAAAAAATGTTTAATATTTCAGTTTACCATAAACCTATCAGATATCATGTATATAGTGATCCTAATTTCACCTAGTTTTATCACGATGATGATAATAAAGGAAATTGATTACTAACAAAAAAATATCACGGTATAAGGCATACTAAATCACAGTAGAAAAAAAAAAAGACATACTAATACCATTGTACAAAATTTCTTTTCAATCTCATTATATATATATATATTCTAAATTTGGTAATTTAGAATGGTGCAATGTTGAGTTGTGGAGTCCAATTATACCCGGGTAATTATTTTTTATGCAAAAGATTTCACAGATCAACCTTGTAATTTCATTATATTGGATGATTATTAAAGAAATTAGATAAAACACAGAGAGTTGTGAGGTATGTGATTTTCTCTTGTAGAAATTAGATAATGAATTATTACAGCGCCGGAATGAGTAGTCTCAAACTAATTGAGGCAAACCTCTAAAAATTTTATTTCTTCATTTTTATTTGATTTCCTTTTCCATGCAAGAACTGAAAAAATCTCAAGTCTATGTCACTACCATTTTCAACCGGTTATTATCATAAGGACAAAAAAGTTATTATAATGAACTTACTTTTGAAAATAGACAGAATCAACCTATATGATTGCACAACAATTATAATGACGATTAGCAAATTTTGATAATGACAGCAACATTAATTGAAAATGGCTTTAGCCTACAGTAAAGAGATTTCCATTATCATGAAAATAAATAAATTATGATATTGAATATAACATACTTCTGGAAATGGAGTTAAAGAGTACAACTGTTGTGGGTGCACAACAATTATTATAACGATCGTGAAATTATTGTAATGAGAAACAAACTAAAGCAAGGAAATTAAGGATAAAAAGATATTAATTCAAAAGGACACTAACGACAAAACTGCAAGCTGATAAAAAGATTATAAAACATTTATTTAATTTCATTATCAATGCCAAAAAAGGAAATAAAATCAACTAAATGAAAAACCAAAAATAAAAGCATTTAAATTTATTAAACATACTATTATGAAAAAATAATCAAAATATACAAAAGGCCAAAATGTACCACAAATAATTAATTTTTACGCAATAGACAGAATTATACTACTATGAAAAAGTATAGAAGTTGTAAACCCGCAAGCGTACAGTGTCAAGTTTTGATAGTAAATGATGAGTGACTATCGTCTCTACAAGGATTGGGTATTAGATTGCTGCTAAATACCGCGATTATCGTCACTCAACTTTATCTAGACAACCTAATTGAGAGAACAAACTAATTAAAACAATAAAAGTAAACTATAATAAAGCAAGTAAAAAGAGATGGATTGAAAGGAACTCTATAATATAAGCTAGCTAGGGGTTTTGATTTCACCTCACTTGACAATGTCTATCCAAATCAAGAGCTTGTTAAGAAATTTCACTCTAATCATTAATCACGGGTTTTCTAACATAAGAAATCTAGCTCAACATAGAGAAATCCATAACTAATCTTATCAAGAAATCCATAAATGAAAATATGTTCAATGCAATATCCACAAATATTTATCTCAAGAAAGACTAGGGTGAGAGATAGAAGAAGGACCTCTTGTGGAGATGAACTTCAAGTTTGAATCCTCTAAGAATCTTTAACTCAAGCTCCTCTCTCTAGGAATTTTAGCACTCTATCTTGTGTTTCCTTCCCAATTCTAATTTATCTTGAGAAAATGAGTCTTCTCCCCTTTTATATACTTTCAAATCAGCTCAAATTGACAGCATTTCGTGTGGAGGCGTTGCATGGAAGCGAATCCATTTTCCACTGCAGCGCTGCTAAGATTTTGAAGAAACCCTAGCGAAACTGGCGCGGCCGCTGAGCGGATGAGTGGGAAGGCAAATGGGCGCTGCAGCGCACATTTTGGGCTAGTCTCGGGCAGAAATGTCTAATTTTGAGGAGGATTTTCGCATTCTATATGGCTGAATTAGTATTTTGTGTCTCTCGAAAGTTGTAGCTATATCTCTTATCTTTCCAACGCCACCAAGATCATCTCATTTGGACTTTGGATGACAGAGTTATGCTCTAAATATTAAAGTATGTTATGAAGTCAAATTTTCACTCTTTTTATTCAATTTTAACTTTAACCTACAAAAACATAATAAAAACACATTAAACTAACAAAAATGCTTGAAAATTTATAAATACTCAAGTTCAAAAGTACTTGATTTGTGAATAAATACCCCTCATAGAGGTTTCTTTTTTTTTTTTTTTTTGAAATAGAACACTGATCACTATAGAGAGTTTATGTAACTACGAGGAATACCTTGAAAGGACAAAATTAGACTAGATATCTAGTAAAACTGGAAGGCAGTTTCCATTTTCCAATCTCGGCAAACTATAACCCTGAGAAAACGAGGAAGCATCAACCATCGTCCTCTAAACTAAACATTTTTATTAATAATAAAATAGAATAAAATAATGAAAGTTCGCAATCAAAATAAAAATAGGCCATAATGGCTTAAAAGCAGAATCACCAAAGAGGAAATTACTGAATTTACTATTAGAGTGTATAAGTCAAATTTTTTATTATTTAATCTCGATTAATAGACTAAATTTAAATTAAATTCATATCATTACACTTTGAAGGATATTTATCTCATTTTCTCTGATAAAAAACATTTAAGAGTGTATGAAACTAGTAAAACCCTTAAATGACAAAAACCAAAGGAAAATATCTAACATGCCACGATTAATTAATAGTAATCCTTTCTTTAGTCACGGAAACATAAATTCCGCAGTTGTGAAATATTATAGCGGTTCACGTAAGTCCTGCACAAAATCCAGCGCTGATCACTACAAATCTGAAGAACCATATATATTATCATGACGAGTAGAGAAATTATTCAATAAACTGGGTATACCAGGTTATCTAATTGGTTACACGGTATACCCATCTAATAAATCATTGACATTTAGTTGGTTGTACATCAACTTTGTGTAATTGAATTTCTCTTTCTTAGTGTATTTTGCATTGAATGTTTAGTCAAACACCTTAAATAATGTACCTATATCTCTCATATTAATTAAACTTTAAATATTTTTATTAGAAAAATTAACATCAAGCACTGATTATTTTATTTCTTAAAAAAAGTATTTATACATTTAGGAAACTTAAACCAGTCGGAGCAAGGTGGGTTCCAGAATTGGAAATTATTATGCCATACATGGCAATTGCAGGGATTTTACTGTGATAGTACTGTTTTGGTTTATATATCCTTGTTTATATATTGGAAAATATACACAGTCATATACGATAATATAATATGAATACAAATGTATATTATATATATGAAGCATATATATGCTTTATTATATATAATTCGTCAATTAAAGAAGGTACGAGAGATTGGTTTACAACGGAATTCACAATGAATATGCACTGAGGATATGTTTATTAGCCAAAAGGAAAAGATATGTACAAGCTTAAAGTTAGAAATTTACGACCTTGTTACAACTTGGACGCAATCCTCCTAGCACCATAAAAGTGTCGTTCGGCATCGTTTAGCTTTCCTGATTTAGTTTAAATGTATAAAACAAATTTTTAAAAATTAAAAATTATATTATTTGAATTTAATAAATATGAGAGATATGATTAGAGAGTATTATTTGAATTTACATGAAGTTGACACAAATAAAAACATCCAAATGTCAATAATTTATTAACTTAGTATACCATGTAAGTAAGATGACGTAATACACTCAGTTTATTGAATAAGCAAAGTTTTATTTATAATAATATTACCGTCTTCAAAAATGTGAAACTCTACAAAACTTACATTCAATTTTCATAGCACCGTCATTCCTTACCTATTTTTGAAAAGAAAATTTCATTTCAAACTTAAACAAGTTACATACTTAAATATAGTAATAAACTACTATCAACTATAAAGGAATTCGATCATAAACATTGGCTAAATCTTCTAATAAAGACGGAAGCGTAAACTACAAGGATAGTAATCCAATAAGAAAAGACCCACTCAACACACTTAAAATAGAACGCAACCAAAACTATTGATGTCAGCAAACTTTTAACTGGGTAAAATAAAATCAAGCCTTGACGGATTGGTATTTACAAGTCAATAACACATTAGTAGATATAGTCAACAGTGTTATCGTTGCTAGCATTATTATTCCTAGTCTAAACAGGGTTAGGCCTCAGAAACTTTACTAAGAAACTCAGATGAAATGCTGAATCCTAACGGCCCAATGTGTATGGTACTGGGTTTGTTGATGAAGCGTTTGCTCATGCCGTCAGACATCTGGTTAGACGCCCATCTAGCTATGCTTGTTATGTCTTTGAGCACTAGGACTCTTGAGCAGCATTTTTAAAGTTTGGCTTGCCCTTTTCTTCTTCATTTTCTTGATCCCACAAATAGTTGTTTAAGTATATCTTCTATTCTACTTTGGTCATTAACTTTTAAAACACCCCATAATAGGTCCCTCAGATTCACTCATTTTCAGTTTCGGTCCTTCCGTTAGTTAGGTGTTAAATATTTGATGGAATCTATAGAAATTAAAGACCAAAATTAAAACATATAAAATTTAGCGACTAAAATAATACAAAAAAGAAAATTAATTTCCACATATAGTCCTTAAATATTAGTTATTTCTAATTTTGTTCAATAATTTACACATATTCCGTCAAATATATGTCTAACACCTATTTAACAGAAGCACTGAAACATAATAAAACTTCTAGGACCAACTGTGTGAGACATAAGGGTGTTCACGGAATCCGTCAATCCGGTTGATCCGTAAAATCCAATCCAATTCGAAGTTTTGGATCAACACGGAATGAGATTTTCCAATCGGAAGGTTTTGGATCAAATTGCGGATTCAACACTTTCCAATTTGTGAAATCTGCCAATCCGAAACCGTATAGATATAATTTTTATAATTATATATATATATATATTTTTTTTTACAAGTTAATTATTGTAATTAGGTTGTAACAATCTAGACTTCTTTTATTATTATTATTATTATTATTATTATTATTATTATTATTATTATTATTATTTGCTTGAAGTAACAATTTAGACTCATGTTGAACAACTTTATGTTATAATTATGTTATGTTTATTTGTGTTTATTTTGTATGGATATTTATTAATTTATATTTTTAAAGGTTGAAATCCGTGAATCCGTGAGTCTAATCCGCAAAATCTGATAAGTTTTGGATTGGATTGGATCAATCTGAAAAGGTTTTAGATCGGATACGGATTGAGATTTTTCTAATCTGTAGTTTTGAATCGGATTGCGGATCAACCTCTAATCTGGGGATCTGGAACCATGAACACCCCTAGTGGGACATTTTACAAGTAAAGAATTAAAATGAAATTAAGTGTAAACCTCAGAAAATATTCGTAGGATTAACATTTTTTTTCCCTTTGAGGTCGGTTATATATCTCCAAGTGAGAAAAGTGACCAAGAAGAACTTAAATGTAATACGATGGATGTTTTTCCAAAATCAACACAATGGTAGTAATTTTAGAGGAAGAATTTAAAGCCAATGCAACGCAATAGTGTCCGGTCTTTTCCTTTTTTTGGTCCTTATTATTTTGACCAGTACTCAATGCTCTCTCTTTCTCTTCACGACAGTTTTATTTTAATATTTAGTTACTAATATTCAATCTAGTATGGCATTATCTTATTTACTTCCTTTTGAAGATTTAAAAAAAAAAAAAAAAAACCACTTTTTCGTGTTCATTGATGCATGCCTCTTTGAATGAGAGCATGATAGTGAGCTTCATTCATCTAAGACTTTCATTACCAAAATACAGATGTAGAGATGGCAACCGCGTGGGTTCTTGGTGGGGCTATCATCCCGCCAATCTTTCTGCTAGAGAAAACAATATTCGACATATTCGTCATCCCGCTTTATTTATTGTTCGGTGATTTACCCACTCACTAGTTTGGAGTGTATATATGGGTACTTCATTGACCTAAGCAACTATTTTAAAAACATATTAAAAAAACTTCAAACATTTAAGGCTCTAAATTAACAAAGAAATAATGGTATTTTGGTATTTCATATATTTAACAACAATATATAATTTGTGACCAATGATTGGGTAACAGGGTCGGGAATCCTATTAATCCATAGACACTCCATAACGCTTCATGAGTTAATAGGGTTCGAAAAAAAAAAAAAAAAAAGGCCTATTCATCTAACCGAACCAAATCTATCCAAAAAGAAAATTGGATACCAAAGACTATTAGATTAGATTTGTATCGTATTTCTACTCATCCACTCCAATTCAATTGGATTAGATGTTAGATTTAAATTTTAAAATCCAAATAAAACCAATTCAATCCAATGTATTTTTTTTAATATATATGTAATATAGGAAATTTTAGAACATAAAATGGAACAAGCCCTAGAATCAATTCAATACTGCTTCCTCATCACATAAGTCACAAGCTCTTAATATTTATGTTTATATCGTGCTGTTGAATCCCCACAAGCCACCACTCATCGTTGATCTACCCATATCATCAAATTCGAATCCTAATTAATATGTACTTCTCTAGTTTTGTTGGATGATTTTTGTTTTGTGATGTTGTATTATCTATTATGAATGGATGATGGAGGATAAAAATTTGTTTTGAAAATGTGTGGATTGTCATCTTAGGCAAGTTTCATGATACTTAACAAAGTTTTAAGAGTTATTGTGATGAAAACCTAAGCCCAATCCAATGAATCCAAATTAATGAATATTAGATTAGATTGAATTGGATGATAGGAATTTGTTGGATTAATTTTAATCATATATAACGGTCAAAAATATGTACTATGCATATGAGATTCTACCGTAAAAATATTATACTAAATGTCAAATCAATTATTTCATAAGATATCACGCATGCGGAGTAGAGCGTGTGGTAATTTTATCTAGTAATGAGTAAAACAACAGCAACATCCGCGGCTTTGACGAGCTTGGTCAAGTCCTTGCAGCCTCCTTAATATTCAACCTAATCATGTGCCTATTGAAAATTTAATTACTCTATACTCTTATATTCTTATTTCATTAATTTGAGTCGCGAATAGTGAATTGGAGATCATGCTGACAGCAGCACATTATTGTCTCCAGAAGGAGGCACCCCACTACTTGTTGGTTTGCACACTTATTTTTCTTTAATGTTTTTTCCTTTAGTTTTTAAATGTGAAAACCCCTCTAAACTTTAGTGCAAAACTTGAGAGCCGAAAGTTACATATATATTGGTTGGAGACCATCATCATTAATACGTGGATGAGAAATATGAACAAATATTATAAGCACTTCCATAAGTGCGAGTGACCTTAGCTTTTTTCCAAGCTTTACAACTTATTAGTGCCTTTGACCTTCTTTCCAAGTTTTACATTATTAACGAGCAATACCTTATATAATGCTCATAAAAGAAAAATAGAAAATAGAAGGGGGGAAAAAATTCCCACTTTAGAAAAGTAATATCGCGCACTATCAATTGAAGTTCACAAAAATCAATTAATGTCAACAACGAAAAACTCTTGTTCAATTAACGTGTACCTTCTTTATTTAGTACGTTCTTCAATAGTTAGGCTGTTACATGGAAAGAAAAACTTAACACTTGCTAAGTGGCAATTGGTAAATCAAACCAGTTAGCAAAAGTATAGGTTGAAATTTATCCCAAAAATGTAATAATAAATATATGTGTACCCATACACGCGCACACACTTTGCTATTTTCAATCCACTAAAATGAGAAGCACGTGCAAATGAAGACAATGAGACTACTACACAACCACCCCAATTACGTACCATTATAAAACACTAGCAGTATTGACGTTCAACTTATGATCATCTTCTCTCTGTCTCTCCCCTTTTTTCTTCTCAATCTCAAATGGGAATTAACATAATCCACACCATCTTCTTCTTTTCCCTTCTAATATTTTCTTCCCCAATAACTTGCCTGGACATTGATTTAGGCATTGATCTGGGCCCAATATTATCGCCGCTTCCACTAATCCCCGACCTCCTAAACTTCGCAGACCAAAGACTAGCCATAATCTACCCAATAATCCAGACCTTCAAGAACATCATAACCTCGGACCCTTTAGGAATCACCAAAACCTGGGTCGGCTCCGATTTGTGCAAGTACGCTGGCTTCTACTGCGGCACCCCGCCCGACAATGACACCGCCACCGTCATCGCCTCAATCGACTTCAACGGCTTCGGTCTCTCCGCCCCGACTCTCGACGGCTTCCTTGACCAACTCCCCGACTTAGCAATCTTCCATGCGAATTCCAACAACTTCACCGGCACAATCTCTCCGAAAATCGCCAACCTCCGGTACCTCTTCGAACTCGATTTAAGCAACAACAACCTCGTCGGAACATTTCCTACGGCGGTCCTATCAATGACGAGCCTATCTTTCCTTGACATCCGCTTCAACTCGTTTGCCGGAGTCGTCCCTCCACATATCTTCATGCAAACCCTAGACTTTCTCTTCCTAAACGACAACAACTTTGCCCAAACGCTGCCACAAACCATAGGCTCCACTTCGGCGGCGTACCTTACATTGGCCAACAACATGTTCACCGGACCGATCCCACGGAGCATCGGAAACGCTAACTCAACACTACGAGAAATCTTGTTGCTCAACAATCTGTTGACGGGTTGTCTTCCTTACGAATTAGGTAAAGAAATCGAAAGAAAAGAGAAAATTTCATGATTGATGAAAGATAGAAAACACGTAAAAGGAAATATTACAATCCCATAATTCATGATTCTGATTGAGGGTTGTCTTTTCCAGGGTTACTAAAAGAGGCGGTCGTTTTCGACGCCGGGAACAACCTCTTGACCGGGCCTTTGCCGTGTTCTCTGGGGTGTTTGAGGAAAATCGAGGTGCTGAACTTCGCCGGAAACTTGCTGTACGGGAAGATCCCGGAGCAGATCTGCGCGGTGGGGAGTTTGGTGAACTTTTCGCTCTTCGATAACTATTTCACGTCGGTCGGGCCGGAGTGCAGGAAGATGATAAAAAGCCGGGTTCTTGACGTGAGGAAGAATTGCATTCGGGGTCTTCCTGAGCAAAGATCGGCGGAGGAATGCGCTTCGTTCTTTTTGAAGCCCAGAAGTTGTTCGCATCCTTCTTCGTTTACTTTTATGCCTTGTGAGGTTCAGCCTTCGAGTGAGAGTGACGGTGATCCCCCTGTGCGACGTCGTACCAAGAGGAAGTTGGTTTCTTATGCTGCTCTTTCCAGGCATAGGCTTATGTTATGATATGTATAGGTAATTTGATTTTACATGGATACTTATATTATGCAGTTTTTTTTTTTTTTTTTGCTAATATTATATATTGTGCACTTTCATCAAGTTATATATGCATTGATCAGGGAAATTAAGGGAAGTTTTGATTGAAGACGTACGTGCCACTAATTAATTCCACGCCTAAGAAAGTGTGGATGATGATGAATAAGATATATATATATATATATACATATATATATGACGATTCCATGTTTAAGGATGGAATTACTATATGTAAAATGTAATTTATAGTTGATCAAAGAAAAGTATTAACCTTCCTTCGGGATTAAATATTGATATAATGAAATATTAATAAATCCTGAGACGCATGTATTTTGCGCTGATTAGTTACTTGTGTGAAACTCATGTCAAACGGGAGTTAAATTTTTTGTCTAATTTTAGTGTCTCAATTAGTATCTAACTGATCATATTATGTCACGTTATATAAAAAATTTTGAACTGTTTTGTAAATAACTCTTTTATGTTTATATATCATACAATAATGTGACATGATATAATTAATTAGACACTAATACATAAATAAAAAATTGGACAGCATTTTTAGAGGAAGAGTACAGGTAATTTCAATATCTAAAGAAACGTCACCAACCTCAAGGTCCAAATATTTCTCTTACTCATCCACAATTCTTCCTGCGACGTTGTAAATATAATGCATCTTTTTTGTCAATTTCTATTATCCAAATCACTTTTATCTTTGGCGATCATATCTGTTAGTATTGGTTCTCTCTCTCTCTCTCTCTCTCTCTCTCTCTCTCTCTCTCTCTCTCTCTCCCTCTCCCTCTCCCTCTCCCTCTCTCTCTCTCTCCCTCTCTAAAGCAAAATCTCAACTTTCACGAATTACACAAATGTGCCCTTCACAAAGCGGAAGGCCAGTTTCTGAGCTCCAAGTTGGCCCAGTAAAACCGATCAAATTTTTAGGTTATATATTTATATTATATGCTCTTAGAAAGTGTAATTAAAAAAAAAAAAAACTTATAACAAAATGAGGAACTTGCCCCATTAATTTATACGTTTATTTTTTTTTCACTTCTCTTAGAATTTTTTAGTCATTAACTTAATATATAAAGGGTGAAAATATTAAATAAAAGACATAAATCTTACAATATTTAAGTAACAACGTTAATGTTTTTGCTCCCTCACTAAAGGGCATTTCTGTAGATTTTATAAAACTTATGATCACATGATTTCTATTTTTTTAATCTTTTTTTATTTTTCTTTGGAGAATTTTTTGACAATAGGACATAATCTTTAATCGTTAAATTACAGGAACGGTATATCATATTAAGACTATATTAATTTCTTTTGTTCCGGAAGAAGACTATATTAATTTAATGTAACGTGTTGAAAAGTTTAAGGGTTAATATTTGTGTCCTATATACGGTATTTTTGTCATAATATCTTAATTAAAAATTCTACTTTTTTTTTCCTAGTTACATTCGGTTGAAGGTGTTGCATATGTACTATACATTATCGAACGCTAGGATGCTCGACTACGGTTATAAGGTCCTTTATTTATTTATTACTTATTTTATTCTTTAACAAGAATATCCTTTAGTTTTCTCGTTTAGTTTTGTTCAGTTATGTTAGGCAATTTGTCGTCTAATTTTTATTTTTATTTTTTCCGTTGCTTCCTCTCTTTCGTAGTACCATTTTATCACCTCGTTCAGGCTTGAGGGTCCTAAAGGAGAAGATCAGGGGGAAATTCAAGAAGATAGCAGGGACTATTGAAAGACTGCAAATTACACATCAGTATATTATAAAGGCGAAAAAATTTGATCAGTCCTTGATAATATAGATTATCCAAGTACGGGAAAAATGATATGTATTGACAAGGATTTTAAAAAAGAATCTCCACGATCCTTTGTTATACACAAAGAGAGCAAACTTTTGTTGTATTTGTCATTTTTTTCCTCCATAACCGTTCATTTCACCAATTTGAGTTTTGATACAGTAAAAAGTTCTCAGAAACAGTAACATTTAATTTTTTTATTACAGTAAAAAATTCTCACATAAAATTACATCTCAACTCGAATTAAAAATTTGAATCAACAAACTAAACAGATCCTTAATGATATTGCAGAAATTTTTACGTAAAAAGATTTTTATGGTTAATTGGCGTTCCAAAATCCAAATGGTCCCATTGATGAATTAGTGACATCTAGTACCATAAAGTTGTCTCATAGATATTTATTTTTTTCACAATGATTTTGTGGTACCTTGTAGGCTTGTACCTTCTTTCTCTTTAGAATGGCTCATAGTGTCCTTGTCCTTCAGTACTGTAACTTATGTATAATACACTTACAGCAAAAAATAAATAAATAAATAAAAAGAGAGAGGAAAAAAAGAGGAAAAAAAGTATGTATAGGTAGTGCTGGAACTTTGGACGGGCCGCCCGCGACCGCCCGAAAAGCCCGAGGATTTGCCCGAGCCCGAACCCGACCCGCCCGAGATTTTGGGGCCGCCCGCCCGAGCCCGAATTTCACCTTGAATGGGCCGCGGGCTTGTATTCGGCGGCCCAAGCCCGCCCGAATTGCCCGAATTTTTTAAACTTTTTTTTTAATATTAAGTTATTTATATATATATTAGTATTACAATTTATATATATATATATATTATA